GAAGAAGGGCGGAAATGGTGGGGGAAAGGGAGAGAGGCAAACCAGGAGAGACTCTTGAATGCTGAGAAACTGAGGACTGATGGATGTGGGGGGGAGGAGGGATGGGCATGGAGAAGGACACTTGTGGGGATGAGCACTGAGTTTTACGTGGAAACTAATTTGACAATAAACTATTTGTAGAAAAATAAAATAAAAATAAATAAATAAATTTCATTTTGTTTTGGGGGCACCTATGTGGCTCAGTTGGTTAAATGTTCAACTTGGCTCAGATCATGATCTGATCGTTTGTGGATTCGAGCCCTAGGTTGGGCTCTGTGCTGACAGCTGAGAGACTGAAGCCTGCTTCGGATTCTGTGTCTCCCGCTCTCTTTGCCCCTCCTACACTCATGCTGTCTCAAAAATAAAAAACCTTAAAAAATTTTTTTAATAAATTCATTTTGTTTTCCTTTTGTATTTCTTTTAATGTTTATTCATTTTTGAGAGTTCATGTGCATGTGCACAGTGCGGAAGGGGCAGAGACAGAGAGAGGAAGACACAGAATTTGAAGCAGGCTCCAGGCTCTGAGCTGTCAGTACAGGGACCAAAACAGGGCTTGAACCCATAAACCGTGAGATTATGACTTGAGCAAAAGTCAGATGGCTGAGCCACTCAGGCACCCCTTGTTTTTGCTTTTCTTAATTTTTGGCAAGAGCTATAGAATTTATTACTTCTGAATATACTTCTGAAGTATAATATATAGAAATCTTTAGTTCTATTTATTTATGAAGCCTCATTTATTTTCAATTTTGACCTCATTCTAAAATATTACAATAACCAAAGCCATTAATAACAAAAGTAGCATATAATGTCATCCATAAAGTAATTACTTAGCACAAAATCTTAAAAAGTTAATACAGTAAATACACAACAAGAGAGCCGTGAGGAAATAAATACTTAAGAAAATAGTGTAGCTATGCAAATCATGATCAAATATAGATACGATATATTTGCTTGTGGCTCTATGTTGTACATTATTTTTAAAAGAAAAGTTTAGGGGCACATGAGTGGCTCAGTTAGTTAAGCATCTCACTTCAGCTCAGGTCATGATCTCTCGGTTCATGGGTTCAAGCCGTGCATCAGGCTCTGTGCTGACAGCTCAGAACTTGAGCCTGCTTCAGATTCTGTGTCTCCATCTCACTCTTCCCTTCTCCCACTGCACTCTGTCTCTCTCTCTCTCAAAAATAATTAAACATTGAAAAAAAATTTTTTAAAAAGATATGTTTAATTTGGCTCACCTTCTATCTTCTTGGTATCTGACTGTTAAATCGTTAATAATCCCAACAAATACTAAAGGTATAGAAACTATGTAAGAAAACAGGTAACCCTGCATCAGGCAGGTTTTTCAGATCCACAGGTATAGTGCAAACGTATGTTTGTAATATATTTAGAAGTTATTAATAAATACCATAGAAGTAAAGAATGATATCAAGGATCTGCAGTTTAAAATAGTAAAGTGGTGCCTGGGTGGCTAAGTCGGTTAAGCATCCAATTATGGTTCAGGTCATGATCTCACAATTCGTGAGTTTGAGTCCCATGTCAGGCTGAGAGCTCGGAGCCTGGAGCCTGCTTCAAATTCTTTGTCTCTCTCTCTCTCTCTCTCTCTCTCTCTCTCTCACTCTCTCTCTCTCTCTCTCTCTGCCCGTCCCCAACTCATTCTCATTCTTTCTTTCTCTCTCCAAAATAAACATACATACATACATGAATGAATGAATAAAATAAATAAAATAGTAAAGTGAAGTCACATCAAAGAATTCTCCTCCAATATCCAATAAAATAAAAGGAAAACATGTACTGGCTAAGTGTCAGTACCAACACCAAATTTAAGAGATACTGACTCAAGAGTATCCTCATCTTTTCCTCCTCTTACTTGGAGGGCATAGAAATTGCTGATGAGAGAAGGGTACAAGAGAGGAAGTAAATGATAGGAAACTCTGATAAGCACAGAGACTCCAGTATACTATGGTGAACTGGGGGCCAATCTGAATCCCAACACAATCCTGTTATGGAAGCAGGATGTAATTATCACTATAAGTGTTCTATTTCAGAGAGTTCATTCTAACAAGAATCTCACAACAAAAAAGACTCATACCATTCCAGATAAATTCTCCACTTTTTCCCCCACCTCCTACTAAAAGTATAATAAAAAGGCTGTACTCATATTATAGCTCTTTGGGGAACACAGTGAGCCAAAGATGCAAAGTGAGTGAAAAGAGATGTATTCACACTACATCAGAGAACACAGAACATCACACACCAACCACATCAGAGAAAGTAGAACATCAGGTCAGGGCTGCCCACGTAAAGTCCTAGTAACATGGGGTAGAGGAAAGCATGAGAAGCACAGCAATTATGCAAACATACTACAGAAAAGAAAAAAGAAAAAAACAGAATCACAATGTAAGAAGGGAAAAAAAACCCCAGAGAACTCAATCTAGAAGATAATATATCAGAAGAAATGCCCTATGACTCTTTTCACTAAGGAATAAAAAGCACAAGCTATATAAAAATAAGGAGCTAGAAAAGCTAAGAAAAAAACTGAGGACCAAATAACTCCATTACAAACAGAGTTTAGCTCAAAACAGAAGAAAGGCTTGAGAAAAAACAGTTAATCCATAAAAGACCAAGGATCAGAATAATGTGAGAAAAGATACTTATGGATGACAAAAATGATCCAACAGAAAACATTTAAGTTCCTGAAACAGAATAGTATAGCACCTAACTGAATAGAATAATATTTAAAAATATAGTGTGTTAAGGGAGCCTGAGTGGCTCAGTTGGTTGGGTAACTGACTCTTGATTTCAGCTCGGGTCATGGTCTCATGGTTCGTGAGTTTGAGCCCCAAGTTGGGATTCTCTCTCTCCATACCCCTCCCCAACTTGTGCTTTTTCTCTCTCTCTCAAAATAAATAAATAAACGTAAAAAAATGTAATATGTTAAGATTTCTGTGAAATAAAGAGAAGACCTTCAGTTTATAAACAGATATAGTGTTACAAAAAAAACTAATACAGAATAATAAAAAACAAGAGATATTCTAGTTAAGGTATTGAACCTCAAATTTTAAAAAAAAAATCAAGTATTCAGAAAGTAAATAAGGGGGCAGAAATTAAGCTAGCCTCCAATTTCTCAACAGCAATGTTCAATGCCAGAAAACAGTGTCCTGAGGAAAACAAGTATGACACAAAAACAGGATAGACATCCAAGTGGTCCTTCAAGTATAAAGACTATGGACATGACTCACAAACATAACACACACAGGGAATATGATGCCAAAAAGCCTTTTTAAAAAAACTGCTTCTTGGTAAAATCCAGCAAGCTAAGGATGAATCAAAATAAAGAAATCAGAAATGGAGAAACTGTAACAGAGGAGTGACAATAAACTTAGAATACACCAAAATATAGAAGTGAGACTAAATAATTATAATTATAGAACAGAATATAAATGTTATAACATTATCTTTGATAATATAATAAGAAAAACAGAAAATCTGAAAGTGGGGAATGGGGAGGTAACAGGAAAAGTGGTAATATTAGCGGTTTTTTTCCTTCAAACAGATTAACATCTTTAAATCAAAACACAAAGTAAAATAAAGATTATAACCTTAATTTTTTAATAATGCTTTTTTACAATCTTAGAGAAATGTTTTAGGAAATAAAACTGCTTAAATGACCAAACATCTAAATTTAAGCAATTCCTTCCATTCTCTTATTTTCTTCTGTAAATCTGAGTAAAATTAATTTTTATGTGTGTATGTTGCACTATAATATGATCCTATTTTTCTAAAAAAATTAGATTTGTTTGTGAATTCACACATCTTTTTTTAATCAATTCTATTCACAAAAATATATCTGGAATGACAGTGTAATTTTAATGATAATTATTTTTGGTAGGTTTTGGGTAATTTTTCTACATTTTTCTTTGCATCTGCTATATTATTTCAATTCTTTATCATAAATATGTATTGTTCTTAAAAAAACAGTAACATTATTCTTTAAAAAAGGGGGGGGGAGAGGATAAAAGTGTATTAGAAACAAATGAAATGAGACATTTCCAAAGTCATTTCCAGTACCATAATTACAAGAACTTGCTAAGAGTTAACAAGCTACACAGAGAATTGGGGAGAGGGTGAAGGGAATAACATTAAACTGAATAAAAAACTTTGAGCCTAGGCTAAAAGAATTATCGATTACTGCATTTGAAACAATAACAGGTAACAAAAATAGTGACTTTACCTTTAGCTAGTAAAAATGTGATCCAAGAAGCTTTCAGCACCGACAGAGAGTTTATTTCAGTAGATATCCTAGTATACAAATAGAAAGCAGAAAAAAATTTTACTCTGACAGTCTTCCAACTATTTCTCTTTTCCTTTTATTTAATCATTTTGAGAGAGTATGCACACACAAGGGGTGGGTAGAGAGATGCAGAGAAGGAGAATACTAAGCAGGCTTCACAAGTGTGGAGTGACTGAGACACTCAGGCACCCCTTCCTTCTTTTTAAATTACAGGCCTATCACTTCTAGGCCTTTTGGCTAAGATCAGGTGTAGTATCTGTTCTTATCAGTTTAATGTTTTGTTTTGTTTTTTTAATTTATTTCTAGGAGAAAGAGAGAGACAGCGTGAGCAGGGGAGGGTCAGAGAGAGAGGGCGTCACAGACTGAAACAGGCCCCAGGCTCTGAGCTGGCAGTCAGCACAGAGCCCGATGCGGGGCTCGAACCCATGAACCGTGAGATCATGACCTAAGCGAAAGTCGGACGCTTAACCGACTAAGCCACCCAGGCGCCCCCTTATCAGTTTAAATTACAGGCCTAAGTTGACTGCGTAAGAGAATACAATCCACTTTAAATGCACAATTTACACATTAACTCAATTTGTCTCAATTTAGTTGTTTTTACCAGGTTATTATATTTACCAGGTTTTTTATATTTATTATATAAATTATATATATTTAAATATATATATAATATATAAAAATATATATATTATATTTATATTATATTTTACCAGGTTATTTATATTTAGCCCATGTAAAAAAAATATACAGAATACATTTTGTAAAGGAAATATTTAATATTTCAATTCTAGTCTAAAACTATGCACAAGAAGTGGTATTCTATGATGTACATGGTTTCCAATTACTTAATACTTTCTTGCTCTTTGTTTTCTAATTAAAATCAACACTTAAGCAGAAAAAGAAAGATTTGGGTGACTCTAGTTTGCCAATTTAACACTATGCTTTGATAACTTACTAGTATTAACAATTGGAATAGATTAATATAATTAATAAACATATAATTTCCCTTTACATCTTCAAGACCACTAATTCAGTGAGGCAGAAAATCTCATATACTACTCATTCCATTTCCAAAGAAAATCTCTAGAGCTCTTACATGGGTATGCTGTTGGGAGTATGTACTACACATTTCAAAAGATAATTTGAAATTTTTAATATACACTTTCACATTTACTCTTAGAAAAAAACTATGCTCTTAGTCTTAATAAAGTTAATAAAGTGTTTATAATGGACCCTCAAAAAAGATTTAGCCAGTGAATATGTATTTTCCCTGAGCTGGTGATATGTTGCACTGAATGAACTTTCACCCAATTAGTTCACCTTGGTAAAGGGCACATATTTCATACCATTTTCTTTGTAAGAAGGTAAGTAATCGGCACAGAGTTTAAATCTATGACCTTAATTTATGAAGTAGCATGCTATAATCAATCAAACTAACCCTGACATTATCAACATGTTTGGGATTATTCCAGAAAAACTATATTAAAAAAAAAAAAAAGACAGGGGCACCTAGGTGGCTCAGTGGTGTCCAAATCTTGATTTCAGCTCAGGTCATGATCTCATGGTTTATGAGTTCAACCCCCACACTGGGCTCTGTGTTGACAGTGCAGAGCCTGCTTGGGATTCTTTCTCTCTCCTTCTCTCTATGCTCCTCCCCTACTCACACTGTCTCTCTCAAAATAAGAAATAAACTCTAAAAATATTTTAAAAATTAAACAAGAAGATAAAAATAACATGCTCTGAAATACTTACAAACTGCCAGGTTGTGTCAAATATATATGTTCACATGTCCTAAAAGGAAAAAATTATTATTACCATTATAGCTTTTTAAAAAGTTACTTTTAAATTTTTTTCATAATTTAGGAATCAATTTTATCATGCTTTATTCACCTTATATCCAAAGTATACATTTTATTTTTCTTTTTTTCTCAGAAATGTACATTTAAAAGACAAAAAAGTACAACATTACAAATGTTAGTAAATTTTGTCAATACATGACATTTTACACATCAGTATTAATACTTAACTACAAAGGGACTGGACTCAATATGTGCATTTATAACTCAGAATATATTCTGCAATTAAATCTTGATCTATTTAGAATCCCAGATCAGGTCATAAAAGCTTATTTAACTATTAGTCTCACTAAAGTAACTCAACTTAAAAGTACTATAAAACCTGTTTGTTTAGGACAGTGATGGAGGAAAAATCTCCACAGACCTGCTCCCCAGTGTAGTAACTATAACTGGTTGAAATTATTTTAAAAATCATTTAAAGTCTCTGGAAGTTCTCCTAAGGGCATACAGCAAAAAAGGAAGCATTTCTTTATGAAAATCTACTAACTCTTGGTAAGAACAAAAATAGACTGTGGAATTCAAAGCAAAACTCACTTCCTTCTCCTCTCTAGGTCAGCATCATAAAGCTCTACACTGAGCAGGTACAGCCAAGACCCAGGACTCCCTCTCTCTGAGGCTCCTAGCCTGACTCTCACTCTGGGAAAGGAAGGTGACCAAAATTTCTAATAACCCCCAGCCTTGTATTGCAGAAAGTCTATCCCAGGCAAGAGAAGCTGGTAGGTCTGGAGCTCCCTTCCTCTACTTAGGCACCACTCATAGGGCAAAAGTTCTATTCCAGGCACAGCAGATCAAGAATATTGGGGGCACTGACTTCTTTTACCCCACTTAGTTCACAGTACACAGGTTCCAGATATGAAAGGCAATCTGAGAAGACAAAGGGCTACCAACTTTTCTCAGTGCCCTACTCTTAAAGTAGGAAATGACACTCTAACAGAAGAGGGACACTGTTCCCATTCTGACCAGTGGCACAGAAATGATGCCGAGGAGAGAGGCAAGTCTTAAGAATAAGAGTTCTGAAGCTCACTCCGAAGGAATTAACTTCATTTGGAACACAGTGTGGGGAATTTCAAGGCTAAATGCCAAGGAAAACAATGGAAATTTTGGTGGTGAGCATGTAAGAGGAGGCTAGCAATTCTATGAAAGCAAAGAGCTAAATTCTAGACCACTCAGGAGAGAACCAGGGAAAGAAAGAGCTAAGAAGAGGTCTCCTGGAAAAAACACAAGCCTCAAGGCTGACCTCAAAGACTATTCCTGCTAAGAGAGCCAATTTAATCAGATCATGCTGTGAAACAATTCGAGACCCAGACATTGTCAAAAACAGCAAAATAATCACTCAGCAATTAGTAGAAGGTAACAGGTAGGTATATCAACAAAGCGGTTAACTTAACCAGAGAGATCAGAGGAAAAAAAGGCTGTCAAAGAGAACCTCTTGAAAATGACTCACCTCAGAGTGACTGTGCACATGCCCAATGGCTACAATGAAGAGCAATATCAAAGGCTGCACACAGTGGGACAAATATACTTCACTGAAATAACACAGCTAGGCCACTAAACAAATAAAGAATGACAAGAGAAAAGCCACACAAGAAAGGAGAATCAGTACCTAGAGTTACCACAGTGTTACCAAAATGTTCAGTTTTCAAGAATAAAAGAAATATGCAAAGAAGTAGGAAAGTGTGAACTCTACATTGGCAAAAAGCAGGCAACAGATTGCATTCAAGAAAGCCCAGATGTCAGACTTAAAATGTTGACAAAGAAAGGCATTCTGATACTGTCTCATCCAATAGAGACTATCAATAAAGAGACATTATTTTAAAAGAACCAAATGGAAATTTGAGTGGAGAAGTACAACCACCAAAATGAAAAATTCACTAGATAGGCTCAACAGTAGATCTGAGCTGGCATAAGGAACAAACACTAAACTTGAAGATAGGTCAAAAGAGATTATGCTGTCTGAAGAACAAAGAGGGGAGAAAAAGAAGAAAAAGGGGCTCAAAAAATGTGAAACAACAAAAAAGAACTAATACATGTGTAATGGGAGTATCAGAAGTGGGTGGAGAGATAGCAGAAAAAAATATTTAAAGAAATAGCTGAAGGCTTCCTGAATCTGATGAAAAAAACATTAATTTACACATCCAAAACACAAACTCCAAGCAGGATGAATGTAAAGGAATCCCATACCCAGCTGTATCACAGCAGAAGTGTTAAAAAAGAGAAAAACAAGAAACAGCAAGAGAAAATGATACAGCATGTAGAAAGGAACCCAATAACATTAACAGCTGACTCCTCATGAAACGATGAAGATCAGAAGGCAGTTAAGATTACATATTCAAAGTGAGAAAAGAAAAAAAACTTAACCAAGAATCATATCCAGCAAAATTGTCAAGAGTGAAAATAAAATAGACATTACCAAACAATAATAGAGAATTTGTTGATAGCAGACTCACTAGAAATACTAAATACTAAATATTTCTCACAAGAAATACAAGAAGTTCTTCAAGCTAAAAACATGTAACCAAAGACAATAATTCATATCCACATAAAAAAACAAAGCACTGGAAAAGGTGTAAAGCACTGTAAAATTGTGTTATAAAAGATGGTATAGTTGCATATTTTTTCTTTCTTCTCATAACTGATGTGAAGCAACTATACAACATACGATGTATATAATTGTATTCTGGGGCCTATAACATATAGAAATGTAATGTATTTGCACAAAAGAGGTGGGTGGGATCAAAGCTGTGTTGGGGTAAACAAATGACCCTAGATGGTAAACCAAATCCACAGGAACAAATGAAGAGAAAAAGAAATGGTTTAATAAAACAATGTAACAAACTCTATAAATATACACTTGCTATTCTCTATGCTTTCAACTACTTTACAAGACACATAACACAAATGTCTTTAAACTGATAAATAAAATGTGGTAAAGCCATACAGTGGAATATGACTCCATAGTAAATAGTAACAAAGACTGAAACATGCTACAACATGGATAATCCATGAAAATATGCTAAGAAGCCAGTCACAAAAAAAATCTAAATAAAAAAATGTATACAGAGAAAATTACCATCTTATAATAAAAAGCAGTACCAAGGAAGGAATTTTTCTAATTATAGCAAAGATTTTTAATGTCTAATACATTGTTTAAATTGTAACTTAATGTAACTCAAAATAAAATGTTATCATACAGTAAAAGATAACTGCATTCAATATAAATCTATGCTAATATGGTAGCCACAAGCACTTATAGCAAGCTACTGAACACCTGAAATGTGGCTAGTGCAAACGAAGTTGTGATGTAAATGTAAATTACACACCAAAGTATTCAAAATTATTTAGTATGAGAGAAAGAATGTGAAATATTTCATTATTAACTTTTATACTGGTTTCATGTTTTCTCATTAAAATATAACTCATATAGGATAAAATTTACAATTTTAAAGTATATAAATTCAGTAATTTTAGTATACTCACTTTGTTTTGCAACCTTCACCATTAATTCCAGAATATTTCCATCACTCCCCAAATAAACCCCATGTCTATTAGCAGTACT